TCTCCACTGCGAAATTATCCCATGCGATAGAATGATTTGGACAGAGGAAATCACGTTAGATTTAGAAAAAAATGGAATAGATAGCAAAGCTGCAAAACAAACTAAAATCTCAAAGCAGTGTCTGGGGGCTCCAGGGCTGGAATAACCAGGAACAATGTAAGTATTGACTGAAATGCATTTAAAAAACTGTGGGGGTGATAATTGCAAGCACAGACTAGCCCCTCACCCTTTTTTTTTTTTTTTTAAGATTTTGACCCTTTTGAGCCATTCCTTCTTTATCCTTCAGGACAGATTTTCTTTTCCTCCAAGCTTCTGCTGCTTCCTAGTACAGCTCAGCCTCCTCTTCTCTTCTCCTATTTCTTTCACGCATGCACATCTTATCTTCTCCTTTTGTGAGTTAGGGTTCTTCTTTTGCTTTGTCTCTGTGCCTGCGATGCACTAGAACAAATGTGGATATCTCCATCGATGCCAATCACCTTAGCTTGCTAGGGAAAGATGTAGGTGCTCCCAGGCTGCAGTTCCTCTTGTCCTAAAGTAGATGTCTAAGCAGCTCAGGTTAACAGATTCCTAAAAATCTTGGGTTTACTTCCAGTAACTTGACAGGGAGCACAGGATGAGAAGATCAGCTGGAGATGTCTGTACGTAGACATCTAAAATTGGGCGAGATGTTCATCGACTCCTACTTTAAGTTTCCCATTTCATGATCTCTCCAGATGCGTCTGTGCTGCCCCAGTCAGAGTCCATCTAACACAATAACTCACTGCCTCCTGCTTGTTCTCTGCTTTGCAAGCAGACATAGAGGACTCATCTTGTGGGAGGAGATCTCACAGTGCTAGTATGTTCAGAAGGAGAGGCAGCTTTAGATGGTGGAAATACAGCCACTCAGAACAACGTACTTTTGTTCCTAAAGCAGGAGATGGAACATTTTGCCCAAGTGGCCTGAAATTACTCCTGTGTTTTTAATCACCTTTTATGCCCATTCCAACAAAGCGCAAAGTGCATGTAAAATGTCAACACTATACAGCTGTGGATGTATAACTGTATCTGTCCACTACAAACTAACACATATGTCCAGAGTGCAAGGAAGTGGAAAATCAAGCCTAGCATTGGGTAAAAAGCAACATAACACATATCCCCTCTGATCTGTCTAGTAATCTCCCCAGGAACATCTAGCAGCCCTTTGCTGGGATGTTGAAAACTGGGTTGGAGAAAACCTCAGAGAACATACTGCAGAAATAGCCTACCTCAAACAAACTGGCGAAGGGTGAGTCAGATAAATCATCTCACCTCTCTTTGTGAATTGGAAACTGTTATTAACTGGCCCTGATGTCAGCAGGTTTATGCTGGCATTGCTCCCATTCCACAGTGAGAATCTTCTCTTTTTCACCACTGTGATTTAGCGGAGCCACAGCTTGAACTTTATTTTTCATGCTGATTTGTATATGCTTTATGATATCACTTCTTGCTGAAGTTCATTGCTGAATGACACCAGGTTTCTTCTTGTCCTGAAGATCAGTGAAACAACGCTAAAGCTGGTGGAAAATAAGACGCAGCTTAGTGGTAACAGGACGCAAGGGTACATAGGGTATTTCACCTCATTGCTCTAGTGGCGTACAAGAAAGAGGGGGGAGAGTGGATAGCTGAGTTCTTCTTGAGCTAAGTTCTTCTTATTGGGAAGATAGACGTTTTGTTTATATTTGGGCCATCTACATGATGGAAATTTACCTGTGTTTGCCCTGTGTCCAGTGTTTTCTTTCTCTTATTTATCTCTGTTCTGCACAACATTTGAGTATGTGGTGAAGTGACTTTAAATCCTTTCTGCTGCTCCTTGATCTCAAAATCTGTCTAGGCAGTTTCAGCCACGGTGGAAAACCAAGCAATCCCTGGGTTGCTTCAGCAGAGAGGCATTTGCCTAGCACTAGCTGCTCCCCAGAGAGAAGCAATGGGGGTAGCAAGGACCTCTGCAGAAGTTCTTTGCCACCCAAGGATCTCTGGGTGCCAGCAGCACTCTGTGGGAATTAGATTTGCCACTGCAGTGCTGTAACAGGGAATGTAGCATGGTAAAAAATTATGTTTTAACGTGTTCGCTTATCCTAAGAGCAAGAACAGTGCAAGAAACATTGTGAGCTATCCCGTGTGACTCTGAGATTGCCAGCTTCCCCCGCTTCAAATACAACCAAATTTCCTGCCTGCGTTGCTAGGACAATTGTGAAGAGCCTGCTATTGTAGGAGCAGGAACCCAGTTTCAACTGCTAATGTAATGGGAGAATCAGTGTTACGTAACAGTGTGTGAACTGGACAAGGCACTCAATATTAGAGCAGGTATTCAGGACATCCCAGTGTCTACCTCTGTATTTGCTACGTTAGGTGCCCTTGAAGAGACTGTGCACATTTTCAGTAGGAAGCCACAAAAAGTTTTAAACATGATGAAACGCTAGTGGGCGGTGATTGTGTTCCTTAAGCTTCCTTGCCTATCCTTTGTTGTACGTATGTAGGCCCTTTCATTCATCTTGCATTTACCTGTGAGAAAAGAGAAGCTTTGCCTCACTAGGGTCTTACCGAGTTCGCTTTGCTGCTGGCTATCAGTATTTTTTAGGCTCAGACTTTGGCTTGGATGGTCATGCCCCATACCGGGGTCCTACTCTCAGCTCTGTAATTCAGCACGTCTCTTGTTATCAATGCATTGGAGAAGAGCAGGATTGAAAGCACTCCCCTCCCTCCCCAGTAGCATATGATCAAGTCATTCAGGAAAAATGATAAAATTTGGACCAACTTGGCCTGCTTTGTCTTCCAACCATACTTGAGACCTATTTTAATCAATAGCCTGTTTTGCCTTTAGCTCATGGTTGTAGCAGTGCTCTATATAGAAGAAATCCTTAAGTAGCACTCAGTTTTGTTGCACAGTATCAAGGGAAAGCAAGTTCACAGATGCTTTTGCTGGCAAGGAGTTTGCAGCTGCAGGGGCTGAAGCCATGGTACTGGGCCATGTTGCCATAGACTTCCTTTTTGGAAAAAACAGCAGTAGGAATCCACCAAGACAAAAAGTGTTTGAAGATCCAGTAGCAGAGCTTTAATTAAATTGATTCAGATCTGGGAGTTGCACACATCTTACAAATGATCCATATGGAAACGGTGCATAGGGAGGTATCTAAAAGAGAGGCTAAAAAGCTGAGGGGGAGAGGGAAGTGAGGATGCACCTAGTGCCAGTATTGGAAGCAAACACAAGTCTGCCATCTCATGGCATTGAAGGGACCAGGCCAAAAAGCATAAGTAGTCTCGGTAAGCAGAGGCTCACATCCTAGTTAGCATTCTCACTACTGCAAAAGATGAGTGTGAGGATGGCAGTCCTCATAAACTAAACGTTGGCATGTGAACCTCCATAGTGTTAAGCTCACAGCATGAACCACGCCATGGTTTTTGAATATGCCAACTAGCTTTGCCTCAGGCAAAGTTAGTTCTGATCCCCTGTCCAAGGCAGCCACCCTGTTCTGCAGAGTGTTTAGCCATACGGACATGAGTGGTGTGGTGCCAGCTGGCCTCAGGGCCAGGGAGCAGTCCCTGGCCTATTTTATTTGCTAGTATAGGTACGATCTGATAGCCCCTCAGAAAATCCAAGAACTGTCTGGTTCAAAGGGATCCCACAGTCCTCTGTGGAATGACCACTGGAGATACACTGAAGCCACGGAGCTATCTCGAGTGCCACTGAAGTATGGACATACCAAGCTTGCGCGCCATACTGCGCTACCCAGCCTTTTGGTGCACCTGCTTCTTTTCCCTGTTTTTTACCCAAATCTCAAGTGACACTGCTTGCTTGGCCTCTCCATTGCGTGTGTGTAGGAAGTCAGGGAGAGATGGGGATGGCGCAAACCAGCCACTCTAGCACATTAAGACCCTTGTGCATTATTCTACGTCATAGCCTTGCAGACCTGGTGAACCCTCATCTTCACCAGTAAATAGCAATCCACATGGGCACACACCTTAGTGGTTGTTCTGAAACAGGCTCAGGAACATGCTGGTGTACCTTTATGTCCCTGGAGAAGTTGGTCAGCAATAACTTGAATACAATTAAATCAGGCCTACTGCAGCAGGGTGAGTCTCAGACTGAATGAAGCCAGCGGCAAGATCATTCCAGCTTGAATGACACTCTTTGGTTTACCTTATCTCTCCTGGTTCCTCTTTCTTCCCCTCAATTCTGATCCCTTGTCCAATCTTGTCCAATTCATTGTAATGGAATTGCTATTAGTGTCCATTTTAATTTTTCGTGTGAGTAGTATGCCAGTACAGGGTGTCTAATTGACAGACAGACTTAGCCTCAAGTTACGCTCATTGCTTCCCACAAGACAGCTCTGCCTTTGAAAGGAGATCCCAGAGAACTGGAGAGACAGTGACAACCTCTCTGCTGAAGGATCTTGTTCTTGAAGGTTTAGAGATGTTTCTTTAGAACCTTATTCAGTATAAAAGAGAATTGAATTACATATTATAAGATTTTTCCCTATGGATCTTGCGAGCTGCAAGTGTGAGTATAGAGTTTTCTCTTCATGACTTCTTTAAGACTAGGCTAGGAGTAGCAGTAATTAAGGGGGAACAATTCAACACTGATTGGCATGGTTGGTGGGCTCAATAAGATGGTAATGTACATGTCTGATATAGTTCATTCTATCCTGTAAGCTAAGAGCCTAATCAGTGCACCTGATGAAATGAATGATGGTTGCCTGTCACGTTAGTAGGGAGCTGGGCTCAGAGATCCAGGCACTTCCTTCAAGTTGCCTGTGCTTTCTGGCAGAGCTGGAAGTGTTTTGTGTGAGCTAGGCACTTGTCTGCTGTACTGAAACGCAGCAAATTCTGTCCATGTCACAGAAATGCCAGATACTTTGAGATCTGGGTCACTTTGGGAAGCGAGAAGCCTGAAGCCATGAAATCCATCATGCGATGACTATATGCACGTGCAGGATGCTCTAGATCGTGGCTGACTAACCCTGGACCATCTCTTTCCCCACTAGATGCTGTAGAAGAAACCAAACCTACTGAAAGTGCCCAGCAGGAAGAGGTGAAAGAAGAAGAGAGCAAGGCGGACCAAGAAAATGCCTGAACATTAAGAAATGACTCCCCATTGCCCCTCCCTCCCTCCCCCTATCCTCTATCCTTCCTCACCACCCCAATCTTGATCTCCCCCTTTCCTGCTCACACCTGTGAGCCTGTCCATCCCTCTCCCATTCCCACTTAAACCCTTTTTCTCTCTGTGTGGCAAACATTTAAAGAAAAAAAAAAGCAGGAAAAATCCCAGTCAAACAGTGTGGCTTAAACATTTCTTTGTTTCTTGGTGTTGTTATGGCGAGTTTTTTGGTAATGATGATCCAATCATTTTGGGAAAATTCTTGCACTGTATCAGAGTTCTTTGATCTGGCGCGTGCGTGTGTCTGTCTGCCCACCGCGAGCGCGCTCTCTCTCTCTCTCTTTCTCCTCTCTCTCTTTTCCAAGTGTGTGTGTGTGCAATGTTCCGTTCATCCGAGGAGTCCAAACTTATCGAGTGGTTAAAACGAAAACAAAACAGAAAAAAAATCCTTTTCTTCCTTTTTCAATGTGATGGAATGAACTAAAGAAAAAACAAACCCAACAAACAAATGAGCAAAAAATAATACTAAACCCCAGTTTGTTTTCAGAACTAAAACAAAAAATGTGCCAATTAGCATAATGCGTGGCTCCAGGCTCCTTTTTCAAACTGAACAATAATTATAATAAATGAGAATAATGATCATTAATACCACCGTGTCGCATTTCTATGCTGCCTTACGTCCCACTGGCCTGTGTACACAGACCGGTCTTTGGTGGGCCATTTGTTGAGTGGACCTCCTCTTTGCTTCTCAGCCACTGCTTCGCCATGGGTCGGTGACTGACTGTTCTCCCTGGCACTGCTAAGGGGATTTTTAAGGGAAGCAGGCTTGGATTTTGGTTTAGGCATTAGCACTGACTAACATAACAAAAATAGCAAAATCGGTTTTACGAAATAACAAAATAAGCAGCTCTCCAGGAAACCTCTAGGCCCTGATTCAGAGAACCATGGCTACCTTGGAAGGCTAAGCCTAGGGTGTCCCATGTGTCCTGACAGAGGGACCAACTTTTGCTTAAGCTGAGGCTCCGATCCCCACTGAGGGCTGAGTGGGGACAGGGGCCATGGGGCCTGCACTCCCCCCAGCGGCGGGGTCACCACTTGCCCTACTAGGCTGGAGTCGGAGAGTTGTTAGGTAACATGGTACAGCCCTCCAGAAATGTTCTTTCTGGCAAAATAAATTGGCCCAATGCATTAAGTAAACAGAAGACATGGGGCCAGGTCAAGGTCTGGTGATGTAAGAGCCAGCTGATGGCACTTTTGACAGCTATCTCACTACCACTTCTTGGAAAGCATGTGGTAAAACTCAGGTTACTCACCCAGTTCTAATTAGGGCCTAGGTTTTCGTTCTCACTTACAGCCTTTCCCAGCAGCCAGCTAAAATCTTAGCTCAGGCTTGTGCAGCAGGCAGAGCACCACCTGACAAATCTCCACTACCGCTTTCCATAGCGTGCAAGATTTTCCTTGGTGCATGCCAACTGAATATCCACCTTTTTCAGTGGATGAGACCTGACGGACTCCCCAGCCTGAGGGAGAATGGCTGTCAGGGTCTGCTGTTCTGTTTATTAGCTGTGAGAGTGAACAGCTTAAATGTATCGGGGGAAAAAAAAAATCTTTTTAAAGCCCTTTCATAAAAGCCCTGTTAAGACTGTAATAAATACTGAGAGTGCTGCTCTTTCACTGCCTTGATTATTATCATGTGCTTTCCCACCAGCTTTTGCATGGTTTCCCGGCTGCATTGGAAATGACAACTACTGTACCCTGCAGTATTGCAGTACAATACTGCTGTTGGCAGGACCAGGATTAATTGGCCTCACAGCTGTAACACCAAAAAGATGAGTCTGCTGACAACCCCAAAGCACCTCGCTGGCTAATGCTTGGAGTACCAGTCCAAATGCCTTTCAAGGGCTGGCTTGTTCTCCCTTCCCCACTCCTTTGTTCTCCTCCATCTCTATGTTGGAAACAGGGAGAAAAGATGAACGGCATCTCCTCAAAGATGACTATTTTGAACTTAGATTGCTCACTGGAAATGCCCTCAAAATGCATCAGGGCTCATTTCCATGTGCTTCCTGACTTTGTGTAGAAATAAGAGAGAGAGAGAGTGGGAGGAAAAAAAGAGAGGGGAGAGAGAGAGTGGGAGAGAGATTGGACAGAGATTTTTAAAAACAGGGATTAGAGAGAGGAGAAAAAAAGATTTTGGAGTGGATAGATGGATGATAGGGAGAGAAAGGGGAGTATAGTTAGCGTAAGAAAGATTAGAGTGAAAAAGGTGAGAGAGAGACAGGAAGAAATTAGATATTATGGAGCAATAGATGATTGATAGAGATAGTGAAACGTAGCTAGCTAAAGTAGATTAGACAGACTAAATAGATAGAAGGATGGGCTGACTGACAGATAGGTATTGTGTCATACTTCATAAACAATATATATGCTAATATTCCCATATCATGATGGGTAGAAAACCCTGAGACACCTTCCAGCCTGACCTCAATTCAGCAAATGTAGCGCGGACATCCGGCATTGCTTGGACCGTATGTCAGGTCTCGCAAGCCTGCCCATTCCCACTGTGGACGCGGCAGGTGGGCGGATGGTGTATGGGGAGGGAGAGTGCTCTGACAGACACAGCGGGCTGAGGCCCCTTCTGGCGAGGCATAGTACGTTTGCTCTTTGTAGCATACAAGATGCCCAGCCCGGCTCCGATGTTGCAAACGCCTCGTGTCTCTAGCACTGAATCAAGAGAACTGAGGTTCAGCTCTCAGGATTTGTGGGAGAGGTGTTTGGGAGGAGGCAAGAAGGAGAGAGCACAGCTTTTATGTAGCTTCATCTCCTGTCATGACCATTTAAAAGGGTTTTCTTAAGGATTGTCTCGTTCATACCTGCAAGGACCACATGGTCTCCCTACTCTTCTGACTTTAGATCCCAAACTTTTCATCTTGCCTCCACTTTATTATTACTATTTTTTACTTTATAAGGAAAAAAAATCTGCTCCTCATGTCTTCCTGGACATAGGCCATCCTCCCTCCTCAATAAACAGAAACCTTCTCCTCTCCCCGGGGATGTTTTATCTTTGCATTTTGCATGTTGCCTCCCCCTTGGCTGATGGCTGGGGCATCGTGTGTGTTTTGCCATCATTTTTAAGAACATACTTTGCCTTGTTGCTTAGAGACAAAAAGGGTTGAGGGAGTTACGTTTTGTTTTTTCCCCACAAAAGGAATGGAGTATGTGGTTACCAGCTGCAACCCTACATAATTTTAGTACTAGTTCCTCTCCCTTGGTTCTAGTTTAAAACTGCGAGCTGTAACCAAGCACCCCCTATCATTCTTATTGTACAGTGTCCTGATTCTGCCAGACAGTCAGGGCAAGAAGAGAGTGAGGGAGTACACAAACGAACTTTGCCTTGAGCAGGCAGTGGTTTATGTGTAGGAGATGTGTACAGGAAGCTGCGCTGCCTTCAGGGTACAGGAAGAGAGCAGAAAAAAGCATTTGGATTACCTTGAATTGCCTCAAGAACTCAAGAAAGGATATAGCATGGGATGGAAACTGGAAGGGCCTCGGAGAGCAGGGGCATTTGAGGAACGATTTTCTGGCATGATATCAAATGAACTAAGAGCAGCTCAAGAGGTAGAAAGTCCCAGAATCAAAGTGGCGGAGCAGAGTATCCAACAGAGTAGCTGGAGCTTTTCTAGCATTCCTCATGCAACAGCTAACATGAATTCCCAAGGGAGTATATATCTATTCCTCTTTCCTCTCTCCCTGGAGGATGAATAGCTTGCCGGGAGGTGCCTCTGGTTGTTACTTTATGCATGGAGAGGGAAGGGGATGTCAACATGATTCATACTGGGAAGACAGTGTCTGACCTCACGTTCCTTGCCAGGGAAATTTGGAATCCAAGAGGGGCTTTTCTCATGCCTCTGTAATTAAGATATGCTAGTGATCCACATCTATACTGAACGCTCCTATCAGCTGTAGGCGAGCCAGCTCTTCACATTTCACCTCATCAAAATTAAGTCTTGGAAAAGTATAAAATATCCAAACCTAACACCCCTGTCAATGCAGTACATCATTTGCATGAATTTGGTCTGCTTTGCAATGCATGTGGCATCCACACACTGTCTGCATTGGTAGCATATAAAAACACAACCCTTGCAACAGTTGCATCAGCCAAGAAAACTCCACCATGAGCCACTTTCCAAAGGGAGGGGAAGCACATCCTGCTGAGATCCCTTCAGACCTGGTGTTTTCCAAACCCAAACCCTAATGCAGCCCCATGAGAGGCCTTAGCTATAAGGAATTCGGCTATGGTGACAGTATAAGTGCCATCATTCAGGGAATGTGTTACTTTAAATGAAAGAAATGGCCATGACTGGAGGAGAGGGGTTTAGAAAGAAAGGAAAGAAGAAAAAGAGAAAACAGGGAGTTCATACTAAACTCCCCACCAAGGTACTGGTGACAGTTTTTTTCTTTTTTCCTGCACTCTCCTTATGGCACGCTGTAGCACGTAAGGCTTTTTGTACTGAAGGTCTGATGTTTGTCGTAGGTGTCTTAGGAGAGAGACGGAGTGGTTGTGGTTTGCAGAGGTGGAGGAAAGAGTTGGAATGAATGTTCTTGCGACCCCTTTTGGCCAAGAAGTCTATTTGGTGATCACCTTCCGCTCAGTGATGTGGGGTGGTGGTCATGGGGTCCTCTTCCAGGTCTATGCTCAGAATCTCTGCTTTTCTGCATTGCCACATTAGCACTTTCACTGGCTATTTAGAGCACCTCGGGACTGGTTGTCCTCTCGCTCACACTGGGGTAACTCAGGAGTCACTCCACTGGAACCAGTGGTGTTAATCTGGTGTGAAAATGATGCGAGAGGAGGATTCAGGTCCTCGGAGGGGAGGATTTTCCAGGTCCCTGAGGGGGAAAAAATCAATGGGAGTTACATATCTAACTGCCACTTGTGCCTGTGAAAGTCTGCCCCTTCTCTACCCATATGTATATAGGGTACAATTTTCAGAATAGCCTAAATGACGTGGACACTTAAGAGCACACAGGTCACTGGCTTTCAGAGAGACTTAATCGCCTAAGGCTCAGATGCTGGAGGACGTTCAGCCTCTTAACTGCAGCAGGTTTTAGGGCTCTGGACTCAAATTCTCCAGTCATTTTTGAAAATGGAACTTAAGATCTTGAATCATTTAGGTGGTTCTGAAAATGTTACCCTTTATCCATTTTCAGGGTGTTGATCTCAGGTCATGTGCAAGCCTGCATTCTTATCTACAATGCTTTATTACTACTTTTCTGTTGAGCAATACTTGGAAGAAGAGGTGAAGGCTGAGATTTGCAGAAAAGACTAGTGACCAAGTGGCTCACATCTGGTGTACCTAACTTGAGACACCGTACAGGGGCCCAATTTGCAAGTCCCCTGTACACTCTGAACATCAAGATTCATGTATTACACACCCACAACCACTGGTCACTTCCAAAAATCCCAGCCTGAGACCTAGACTACTCTTGCAAAAGAAAATCCTAGGATAGCTGTTCATCCAATAGCTTGTTTTTTCTGCTCATGCCTGTTCCCAATGAACAAAACACATCCCTATGCATCACCTAAGCCCTATTTTGAGAAGTTACACTGGCATACAGCTGAAGTAACACAGTAGTAAATCAGGGCCTGAAGAAGAAGAGTACAGCCTAGAGAGTATAAAGAACTATGAAATATTTGGAAGCTAATAAGAGCAGATTCGACGATTAGAGTGGCCCATTTCCGATGCTCTTGTGTGAGGATCTGGAAAGAGTCTCTCACTCATTGTACTTGTGCATTATGAATGTGTCCATCTGCAGAGATCTAATGTACACATATGTCCTGAATATTGTCCTAAGGTTGCAAGCTTCAAAACTGAGCAGAAAACATTCCCAAGAAGTGAGAATAATACAGATGTCTGTATTTGAAAAATTGGTTCAAATAAAGTCTCTCACTTATAGATACCTGTAGTTGTGTGCAATTATTTGTTCCCTGAACAGAAGTTTCTCCTTGCTGAGATTTTCAATGCTTTTGTGAAAAATCTTATTCTATTTTCCCTCTCTACAGTTTGTGGCCTTACCAGTCAAGTCCTGTTACTGTGGAAATACTTTCTCCTTATTCTTTCTGGGTAAAAAGCTATGTTAAAATGAAAGGGTGAAGTAAAAGGCCTGCTATGTTTTTACTGTTGTTAAATGTCTGTTGAGGTAGAAGATACAGGCCTGACTCACTCAAGATGCAGTCTTGCTGTGCAAAAATATGGATATTTGTATAATAAGAAACAGACATTACCACAGAATCTCTTGACCCAGGAAAAGCTAGTGTATGGCTGTCTATACACTCCCTGAAATTAAGCTGAACCAAGGAAAGCTGTGCTTTCAGCACCACATATCTGCAAAAAGTCCACAGCAAAATGTTAGGGCTGGAACGTTCTAAGTAAAGGAATTTGCATGGGTCTAGAAAGCCAGTCTCTCCCTGATGTTAGTCACCGTTAAGGGAAGCATTCGGCATGTTTAAGGAAAAGTGAGTACAAAACAGAATAAATTTATTTAGGCAATTAGGCAATCTGGAAAGCTCCTTCTCCCTTGAGCAACAGTATCTAAAAGTATCACATTCCTCAACGAATGTAAAGATTCAGTAGTTCACTAGGAAACTCCAGCAGCTTTTCAGATAGGAATATATATTTCAACACCTAAGAAGCTCCACCAAGCTCCTTCCTTCAGTATCAGCTTTGTGCCAAGAGCAATGAAATATGAACAGAGCAGAGCCTGCTGCCCAAGCTGTGCTAGTCTGACGACTTTAATGCTGTGCTGTATCTGTCAGCAGCTCAAGAGCAGGGCTGAAATCAAACATTTTTATCACATCCGTTCATCCCAGGAAGCTTTGCAACTGCTATTTAGAAATCACTTGCAACTCATCTCTGAAATACAGCAGCTGGCTTAGCAAGGGCCCAGAAAAATTCCTGATGGGGCTATAAGGAGCTGCCTGGGAAACTGAGCAGACCTCAGCACCTCGCATGGGTTCTGGATAAAGTGCCAATTTACAAATGAAAATGACACAATTAGATGTCTGTATTCTTGCATGTAATCATCAGTTGCCCTGTGGCTTCTCCAAAAAAGGCGTAGACTCCAGCTTGTGTGCAAACAAATATCTAGCATTCAAAATCAAGTGGTTTCAATTAGTCACGTAGCTAGATTGCAGGGCTCGACTCTGGCTGTTTTGTTTCATTTCAATGGGGGAAAACATCTGTAAAGGGATAGCCAAGGACTTCCCTCCAAGTAAATGGCTGTCTTGGGGTGGCAGGGCTGCCTTGGGCTCTTATTTCCTCTACATAGTGGAAAGAGAGGCAGGAGCCTGAACAGCTAACTCATGTGTCAGATGAAATGCTCAGCCTAACTTAAATCTCTGCCAGGGTGTTTCTAACCAGACACACACAGCTTTTCACATATGATTTCCAGTGTTGCTCTCTTGCCATTGTGAATCGGAAATAAACTTTCTGATTGAATTGTACAAAGTAACTTGTGATTCACCTCATGTTACCCTGCCATTGCCTTCCTGCCCTCCTGTGGGAGGTTTTTTGCAGATTGCTGAGTTATATACACAGACCGCTGCTGACAGCCTTTCTGCAACTTTTGTGAGACATGAGAGGGTGGTTGTGTTTCTGAGTCCAGCGGTGGTCCCATAGCTTATCCCACAGTGGGCTGGGGAACACTTTCTCTCCTTGGGGAAAGTTCAGCTGGATCTTCAGGAAGTGTGGCCGAGACGCAGCCCTGGCAAAGGAAAGACCATGCTTCCAGGAGCACAATATTGTGTAACACCACTTCTTACTCTTAGTAAACGTTGCCGCTCTCCCTGCCTGCAGCCCTCTGAGTTTCTTCTGGCTACTTCCCGGTGATAAAAAATGGTGATGTCTGTCCCCCATTTAACTGAGGGAGAATTTATGGCTCCATCATCAGTGCCACAAGATAATTGCCTGGAAGCTGAAGGCATTTGAGCCCTCTGTAGCCTCCTTAGCACTTTCCTGCATCACACTTTTACTGGCGATTTCTTATGATTTTTGGCAACACCAACAGCTTGATAGCAGACTTGCCACCTACATTGCTCTAATGAGGTCACTGGCAAAAGACGAGTGCTTCCCATATCGTTACTCAGGTTTCTAAGCCTGCTCTCCTTTACCTAGCAGGTAGTATGAAGCACCCTGCACTTTTAGACCTCCTAACCTGTTATGCTTTACCCTGTTTTACCACTGTATGCCAGCAAATGAGTGGGGGTGGCATCCAGACTGACAGGCCCTCCTGCACTCTGAAGATGAGCAGAAAAAGCCAGACAAAGGAAATTACGCACTTATTTACCTAAGATCACTTTGTTTATTAAAAATGAAATTATTTTCCTCCCTGTAGGAACACTTTTGTTTATTAAAGAGGAAATAATTTTCATTTAGCTTGGCATGGAATGGTAAACATGAATAATAAGAGAAGCAAGGAAGTAAAAGCCTAATTCCCCCAGGAGGGCACAGCTGACTCTACAGCTGAGAAGCTGGATTTGCCGGGAGAGGAGGTGGCTTGAATGAGATAGATTGCAAAAGCTGGAGAAGTAGACAGTCTTTTGGGTACTTTAGTCTGTGTAACTGGACCAGCTGCCTTCTGGTCTGCAACAACAGCTCCAAACTACAAGCTGGGTACAGGTAGAGAACCACTGCTTTGAGCTTAATTTAATTATGTTAATTGATTAAGCAAGTACTGAGTAAAATGTAATTAGCACTTAGGGAGCCACGGGTGGATACTAAGCTATGAGAGAGATAAAAGTCATCATCTTCAGTGGGACAGAAGGGTGACACAGGTCATTGCTAGCTTGATAACAAGGAGGGGTTAATTAGGGTGAAGACTGTTGGTGAGGCAACGTCTCTACTGAGCCTATGATTTTTGGTATCCTGAGGTAGTCATCTTCTGAAGGATTTTATGGCCATCTTTAGAACCTTAACCTAGAAAGGGAAACCTGGTTTCTCTCACTGGTGGAGAAGTCTAATGGAGAAGGTTCAATTTTCCCCTGGATACTGGGAAAGGATGTCTCCACCCTTTGCCATTTATGTACCTAAGCTGATTCAATTTGCGGTTTAGTCTCTGCTGATTCTCACTGAACTCTTGTCCGTGCAACAGCTCACCTTTAACTGCCAGGGTGATTTCACTGTGGACACAGTGAGGCAGAGCCTTCCTTCTTGTGTTTGCCTCGTTCCTCATACTTTCTTCTTAGGTGTTTTCTCCTTGTTGGGTGGAACTGAGCATTTCAGGAACAACATAATTAAAGCTAATAAACTGCTGAACAATGGTGGCCTAAGGGGGACATCGATGTCTAATGGGGCAGACCCTGAGCTGAGAGTGGTGGTTTCAGAGGTGGAGGGCTGACACTCTTGGAAGTCTTGGGGAAGAAATCGGTCAGGAATGACCTTATGACTGTCACCTTCTCTAGAAGCTACTTTAAGATTTCAAGGTCTTTTCCCCAAAAGATAATTCCTAGTTGAATTCCAGCACCCTACAAATGGGTGACCAATTTCGGTGCACTGGGAATTCAGCTGTCTTGGTACAATGGCCCAGCTCAGGGCTTCCTGACCCCATTGCACATTGCCTGTTTCTTAGCAGGAAAGAGAAAGGAGACCTACAGCTGTGGGTTGCTACCCCTGGGAAGGAAGGATGAGGACTTTCTCCCATTAATGACAGCAAAGCAGGGTGCCAAACACCCCGCAGAGCTTATTTGAGGCCCAACAGCTGGAAGAGCAAAGCATGCTGCAGGCAGGAGTGTGGGGCACTGACGGAAGTTATGCAAGGGAAGCAGAATCACTCCACTGCATCCGAACACTTCCAAATTTCTCACAGTCATAAGAAAAGATCTCTGTGAAAATGGATATAATATTTACTCTGGAGACTAAGCGATACTTGCAGATCTGCTTGATCACACAGGGAAGCTCCCTGCTTAGTGCCAGCTCAGTGCTAGATGGCAAAAAGTAAACTTAAAAGATCCTATATCCTAATTAGTCCCTAGGAAAAAGTCAAAGACCCCAGGGGCATTGCTGCTGCATTTCATGCCTGAATGGAAGGAAGAAAACAGTGATAGCAGAGCCTAGGTCCAGCAAAGAGACGGGAGGAAGGTTTGCTTCTTGCTGTATACCATCGGAGTGCATGTTGTCACGGAAGGGCTGAGGGAGGTTTATGGCTGGGGAGGGGTGGTTTTTCCCCGCGGTCGCTCGATAGCAGCGCTGCTGGGCTGTTTCGTACTCCCTGCCTCGGAGGCCCTTGCTGGTAGAGAGCCCATTAATAAGGCTTTCCAGCTTGTCACTTCCATGCTGAATCCTTTGAAAGCCGTGCTCCTCTGGGCCCATTAGAGGGAGGAACTGTCTCTGCTGAAACATATGGGGCTGTCAGGCTCTGTCTGGCTGTTGCTCTGAAAGCTGCCGTGGCTCTAGCTGTTTGCTGACGATGGGAGAAGCTGTCTCGAAGCCGCTGCGATGGGGATGGCGATGGGTGGGGGGGAAGAGGACGGGTTAGCCGGGAGGGCTGCTGGGAAGCAGGGTGCTGGTAGGTAATAGGCTATTAGAGAAGAAGGACACTGGGTTAAAAGCCTGCAAAAGGACTGCTGGGCTGTGAATGGGAAGCCTGGAGCACTACGAGTGCAATAGCGGGGAGAGATTTTCTGGATCTGAGCTGACTGGGGTAAACTGGGGAGTGAACACTGAGCAGGTATGTAGGCACAGGCTGCAGCAGAGGAGGGCACTGCTGACAGCAGAGTTGTTTGGGCTTATGTCAGGAAGGAGAGGATGCTGGCAGCACTAGATGGCTCTGGGAGGACGACAGAATTAGGATGCTTTTGAAAGGGGGGTGCTGGAACCGAAGGGAATCTCGTGCAGTCAAACCACTGTGAAAGTTTCTAGGTGCATTCCTGAAATTGCCTGGATGCCGCTGAAGTTTCTCATT